AGGCCTTTATCAAGCTAGTTTTGTTCCAATAAACCTGCCTTCCTGCAACAATCCTGAGTGCCTGGACATAATTTATTTTATTCCTTCAAACCACGGCATGCTAAAGGAAGCATCTCACATGCCCAAAACATGTGGCGTTATAAAATATCAGCTGTTTCCATGTCCTATTACCCTTTCAAAAAGTATTTTCCATATGTGGAAAAAATACCAGCAGATAGGTTATTGCGTTTGCTTACTATAGAGAAACCCACATGTTGAAGTCCTACTGGCTGTAAAAGGTCTTGCTAATGCAATAAACCTGATTTGTTTCACAGATTTGTGAGTAGATCCGGGCAAGGTCAAAAGCAGGTGCAGCTGTAACTGGTTGACTTCACCCACAAAGTCTACCAAAGACTGAGTGGGGGTTTGGACAGGCTCGATTGAAGTGAGGGTCGATGAGGAGGACTGTAGAAAAGCACTCAAGAGCAGGGAGAAAGGGGCAACTGGGTTATTTTGTATATAATTATTAACCCAAGTAATTGATATTACCTTGACTATTATTATGTAACAAAGTTGTCCTGATGTCTGGAGTGTCCCTTTAACCCCTTAAGGACACATGACGTGTGACATGTCATGCATGATTCCCTTTTATTCCAGAAGTTTGGTCCTTAAGGGGTTAAAGTGGCTCTGTCACCCTTGTATGAAAAACTAGTATTTCATAAAGATAGAATCTTTGAAATACTTGAATGACTGTGTTGGAATTTAAAAAAAAATTCTAACCCAATCAAAAGATATACCAAGACAAAGTAGGGACTACTTTGTGTCAGTATTTTTCCTCCACTTGACAAGCTTGTCAACAAGGCGTGGCTATCGCTGTCAAGCTTGTCATTTCCTACCGTTGTGACCAGTGACTTCTGTAGGGAAAAAATATCTTTCTATGGAGGACTTGAATGCTGTACTTTCACTCATGTGACTTCGACTCTTGGCAGCTGAAGAGTAGATGGAAGAGGATGGCACCACCCACAAAGGACAGGTTCAGGTAAGTAAATATTACCTTTCCCAACCTCCATTGCAACCGGACCCCAGAGGCGATGTCACCATCAGGAGTCTTTGCAAATTGTGCAAAGTCCCAAGACAGTGACAGGTTGCTTTAATACATAAGGTCATTGTACCTAGAAGGTCTGGTAATGAAGTGTATGTCATGGGCCGAGAAATGTATATTTGTACACAAGTGAGTCAGTATTTGCTACACTTGGAGGTGATTCAGTCTTTTTGGAGGAGAGCTGTTTTATTGCTACTGGAATACATGAGTCACAGCTGAATTTTAGGAAGCTTCTATACAGCAATAGCATTATGTTAGTCATTAGTATATATTACAGTTTTGTGACTCAATAACCAATGTGCTATACTATTCACTCTTAGAACAACACGAGTCAGTTTCTTATATGGTAGGATTTGTTATAAAACCCATTCACAGGAGGCAGACTGCTAACTATGAATGATAGTGAAGGCTTGCAAGTACTTTGAGTTGTGAGTCTTGTGATGGCCAGGAATGGTCCTCCAGCTTTTACTGGACAGTTGGAACGTTTAGGTTACCCAACCTTTTAATTTACTATCTTGTGATATTACAAGGTAAAGAATGAATAATGAGAAAAGCAGAGGAGTTGCATAAGGGATGCCATGCTATGTTATAGAACCTTTATTAATATTTTTATGATATACGTTATCCTCACATTCAAACTTTCATGGTTTCCAGATTTGTGAATGGAAAACTATATTTTTATTCTAGATCGTAGAAAAATGTTTAATTCCACATATTAAGATGGTAAAATGCCACTATTTAAAAGGTACATTTATTCCATCTTTAACAAAGAAAGGGAATCATTACAGAGATAGCATATAATGTAGTTAAAGTCTGTATGCACACTTTGGGGAGATACTGTAGTCACATTGAATGCATCAAGATTTATTTGGATATATATCTAGTATGAGACGGATGCCCACGGACATGAACTCACGTTGAGGTTGCAGTGTATTGAAATTTAAATCTGAACATTTAAAGGAACTCTTTAGCGTTAAGAATACAAACACGTATCACAAATGCAAGAATATTATTATAATTATTTAGATTAGTGCCCCACACTCTTCTTAATTAACCATATTAAAGCATTCTACACACCTCACTGGCAATACTGATGATCTCAATCCATAGGAATGATTTACCAAAATAATTGAGAACGTAGAGCGCTTGCGTTGAAATCCCTATGGGGAGCATTAGCATTAGGAATGTAGTAGTGCACCTACATGCAAACTCCGAACGTCAGTCCTGTGGTATTAGGCAGCGATGTTAAACTATGTTGGGCGTCCTCACTCTTTGCATGAGAATGTCCAACGTCATTAAAATCCCCATAGGAACACGTTAGGTTCCCCCATCGGCATAGCATGTTGGGAAAAGGAGAAAAATGGCCAATGCCGAGATACCTCGGTGCTGGGAAGATATGTGTGAAAAGCATTTTTAACCCTTTATTCACCGGTGGTAACAGGCAGAGGAACACAATAGCATTAGAAATACAGTTTTGTATTTGTAACGTTTTAGTGTTTCTTTAAGAACAGTGGTTTTACAACCAGTTCTGACGATGTCCCGGATGTTTAGGATTTGGGGATTTCCTAACTTTACAATATGACTGGAGGCTTCATATTTGCTTTACTCTCTTTACTGCATCTCCATACCAGCAAACCATATAAACAACTTAAAAGTAAAGGTAAGATAATGTATCTAGGTTAGCATGGGATTCCATCATTTTTTGGTGGGGGGGGTGGGGGGAAATCTACAGGTTACACCTCCATCACCTGTTGGTTTCAACAAGAAACAAACAGCTGGAGGAAGTTGCAGATGTCATGCTAGTTGCATGCTCACTGATGTCAATGAGTGCACTCACAGCATTAATGGCCTCGCCCAAGTACGCAACAGGGAAAGTCATTGACCTGTTGAGTACATGTAACCACTTCTTGGAATGTGCATTGAATCCATGCACCAGTGCTATCAGTCATGGTTATATGTGTTGTGATAGACTGGTATGAGTGCACGGTGTACTAGTGCAATTGCTCTCTTCAATTCATGTAGAGATGCACTGTATACTGTTGATTTAGTTGACTGAGCAATATACCACAGCCTAAGCCACAGAATGTCATATGGAACCTTAATGGATTTTCTTTTAATAAAACCAGAAATTGCTCACAGTTCTGCATCTAAACCAAGTAATGCAGGAATCTGGCCATAGCTTGGAGACCTCTATAACCCACTCTTTATAATTACTAGAAATACATGAACATTAATTGCAGCACCCCAGCTACTATGGTCTTCAGACTTTGGAATATGTGTGCCATGGGGCAAGGTTTCGTAGCAATTTTAGCTCACAACAGCTCAGTGACTGGTTATCTATACCTGTTTGGAAAGAAAATGCCATAGCGTGTCCAATTCTGTGAATTCATTACACTGATTGGACTTGGTGGTTCACACAGCCAGCTGAGCCTCTAATATGAACACGTGTGCATTTCATTTGCATCTGTCAAACTACTTATTAGAGGATATGTGAAGTTTCCGTTGTGCTAGTGCTTCAGCAGATTTGTCAGCTAATTGCACAATAATCATAGCTTATTGCATCATAGTCTTTGAGATCCGCAGTCTCCACCAAAAATTAGGACATCTAATAAAAGATTTTTCAGGTAACGCTATGAGTAGAGAAGAGTTCTTAAGGTAAAAAAAAAAGGGTAAATAGTGCTTTTATTTGGTCTATAATGGGTTTTTATTTTGGGGGGGTGCAGAATTTGACTTATTTTTTTTTACTAGAAATGTCATGTTTATTCCCTGCTTTCCTATTGTGTCCACAACCCTCTTGTCATCCTGTATTTAGCGTTAATTACATGATGAAGATACTTATTTTATCCTCCATGAAGGGCTAAACTTGGGAAGCATTTAACCTCTTATTAACAGGTTGAATTAATGTTAGAAGACGTGATATATTCCAAGGTTTGAAAATAGAATCACATTAATATTATTGAAAACTTGTATAGACGTGTAAAATTAAATTGGCCTTAGTTTTCTGCAAAGGATATTTTCTGTTTAGGTTCTACATGTCAATTTGTGAGGATTTTGTCATTGCTTTTCTATTGTTTAATTGTATGGGGCAATTGAAGAAATACAGAACTAATGGCCGGTGATCAGCATTAAGTGTCAAATTATTCAGTGAAAAATTTACATAAAAGGAAGGTATGAAAAATGGACATAGCAGAAAGATGGTGAGATATAAAGAAGGAAGGGTGTAGGAGATAAAAAATAAATGTGTGAAGAGTAAGGTGTGAAGTGCTATGAGCTCACCAGATATACACTGCCAGCCAAGTTAAAACAGATGTTTATTATTGGTTATTTGAACTAATGAATATGAAAGCTAAGCAAATCTTTAACTATATATATATATGTGTGTGTGTAAAAACAGATAAAATTTGTATCTTGTAATAACTTTTTTATTAGACTAACAGATTTTTTTAATGACAAGCTTTCGGGAGAACCTCCCTTTCTCAAGTCTAAAGCATTTCTGAGCAAGACGACACATAGAATTCAAAGTTAAGTTGTGATACAGGGGTTAAAGAGACATGAGTGCAGATAAGACACAGGTTTGATAGAAAATAGACATCATTCTCGCAGAGGGTCGTAGAATGATGTCTATTTTCTTTCAAACCTGTGTCTTATCTGCCTAGATTAGGTGTTTTTAAAAAAAACAAATAAAATCTGTCAACATTGAAGTTGCTGTTTAGTGGATAAGTGAGTGTGCTGGATCTTGTGTATTGTATATATATATATATATATATATATAAAATGAATAAAGAGAGAGCACTCAATGGATTTTCTCTATAATATATGTAACTAGTGATGTCCCGAACGGTTCGCCAAACGGTTCGCCGAAAGGTTTGCCGCGGACAGCGAACATAAACATAAACTTTGACCCTGTACCTCACAGTCAGCAGACACATTCCAGCCAATCAGCAGCAGACCCTCCCTCCCAGACCCTCCCACCTCCTGGACAGCTCACTAAGAATGCAGCTTCACAATGAATGTAAAATGGATGCTGTCCAGGAGGTGGGAGGGTCTTGGAGGGAGGGTCTGCTGCTGATTGGCTGGAATGTGTCTGCTGACTGTGAGGTACAGAGTCAAAGTTTATGTTTATGTTCGCCTTCCGTGGCGAACCATTCGGCGAACCGTTCGGGACATCACTATATGTAACAGATCCCCTCTGTGTTCGTTCGAGGGATCTGTACTTTATGTGAACTGCTCATTCGTATGAGCTGACTGCCATAGACTACAATACAATCTGTTCAAAAGTCCGGAATAATCTACCGAACGTTCCGACCACCCTGATGATAAGTGTGTTCCCCATTAATGTTTGCAACAATGTTGCCTTTTCGTAATTAGCACTCAATTCCGCATATGCTTTGTTCTCTGGGTGGCCGCCATTTTGGGAGACGAACACGTGGCGGCGGCCATCTTAATCTCCCGAACAGCGGTGTTTGGTCGTCGAGTGTCTGGAACTCAAATCGGACACTCGACCAAGCAAACACCACTGAAACCTCCAGAGTGCCAGAACCAATGGAAGGAAATTACCGAACGAGCCGCCGTTCAGTAGAAAGACTGAGCTAAACATGGGAATTGTAATGAACACAAGGATATCCACGGATGGCAAGCCGTTCGGGACTTTGTATTCCACGAACAGAGACCGACCGCAATGCCAAAACTTATGAAACTGTTTTCTGCTACTGTTGCCTGTGCGGTCGGTCAAAACTTTAAGTCCCTGTAACTCCCGAACCCCTGGTCTGATCTGGGTGATTTTTTAAAAATGTTGTTCACCCAGATCGGGGCTTTTAGGGGATACCAGTGTTAGGGGTGTACCCCATATATTTGGGGTACATCCAGAAACTTGAGAAAACTGTGTACTTTTAAATTGGGTTAACTGTTTATCTAAGAAGAGGGGATATGTAGGATGTACCTTATCGTTGATTGGTTACTGTATAATTGCTTGTGGGTGTCTCCCTTGCATGGGAGCACTGCATAAAAGGAGAGTACCTGCCATTCAAAATCAGTTCTTCTTCACCCTTCAATACATAGCTGTGTCTCGTTATTGAAAGGGAATTTGCAGCATAATCACCAGCTTTTTTCAGAGCTCTGCCCCTCTACTGCTCCAAGGATTCAGCTGATGGGAGTTCGCCTCTTCATCTCAGCTTTGCACCTGACCCGGAGAAAGGACGTCTCCAACGGCAAATACCCCTCTCCACTCTGGGTAGCCGTTACAATATATATATATATTGTATACAAAAAAATTATAATAGCTGCATATTGTTATGTCTTAACGTTATATGCGTTTTATTTAAATGCTGGTATTTAATTTTTCCATATAATGTATTTAAGATGATATAATTATACGCATGCCATAAAATGAACCAGACATAATTACTAAAATATTTTCTTAATTAATATAGTGTATATGCAAACAGTATGTTATATTTCAATAAAATAACAATAAAAAATTATTATTGTTGATATGTTTATTTTTATTACATTATATGTATATATATTTTTAAAAACTCAATAAAAATATTTGGAAAAAAATTATTTTTATGAGATAATAGTAAAGATAACGTAAAGGGACACTCTATTTCCCGAGTAAAACAAAATGTTCACTGTTTCACAGATATTCCGCCAATGAAAACTTGCATGCAATTAATTATACATATTTTTCTTTTGGTTTTATCTAAAGATAGCTTGTAAAAGCTACAGATCACTTTTTAGTATATGCACAGAAATCTGGGAGAGCTAAAAAGTTTTCCAAATGTAACTTTTCCTTTTAAATTGTAATATCTTCTTAAACATAGTATAAAACATTAACATAGAAGCAAAAATAACATTTTGAACATGTACTGTTTTTGTGACAAAAAGTAGATACCTGCTAAGATGTGTACCATTATCTGGCTAAAACCAGACATTATTATTTGTTTTATTCCGCAGTGCTTTACAATACTAAAAAGGGGGAAATTTAACAATGAGACAATAACAAAATGCCAGTTGTACTCTATAGTCAATTTTACACATGCATAGTTCTAGGTGTGGATAGATTGACGGTGAAACTTAAGGGTACCATAGAGAGATGTACACAAACATGGACACCCTGGCTTGAATTTATTTCCAGAGAAAGTTCAATGTCTTAGACATGACTAACTTGATAGGAGAGTCTCAGTTGCTCTGACCTAATGTTGATTGACTGAAATAAGGATACTCTCCGAAGATTTTATGGAGAGAGTTTATAAGTAGTATTCCCAGAGATTTTATATGGATTGGTCCCAGAGATTTTATAGGGAATGTACCCAAAGATTTTATAGGGAATGTACCCAGATGATTTTATAGGGAGTGTTCCTGGCAGCCTGGGCACGGATTAATAATGGTCACCTGGCCCTACAAAGGGGCTATGAGGTGGAGTAGAGGTCTGTCAATCTATAGGGTTTTTTTTGGAACCCCCCCCCCCACACACTTTTTTTATCTTCTTTCTTCCCCTTCTTCCCTCATCCCCATCTCTATTCATCCTTTTTTAAGTCCAGAATCCTCCTCAGCGTGTGATTAGTTTGGTGTATGGAGTCTTCGTCCCATGTCGTATCTTTGTTACAATGCAATTGATGCTGGAAACTGTTGCTTCTGTCACATTTATATGTTGCCCCCTGCCTGCTGACATCAGCAGAAGTGGTGGCCTGATCCAATCACAGTGCTTCCCCATAGGATTGGCTGAGACTAACAAGGAGGCTGATTAGGGGCAGAGCCAGCATGATTCAAACACAGCCCTGGCCAATCAGCATCTCCTCATAGAGATGAATTGAATCAATTAATCTCTATGAGAAAAGTTCAGTGTCTGCATGCAGAGGGAGGAGATACTGAATGTTTGTAAGCATTTTAGGCAGCCATGACCCAGGAAGGATCTCTAACAGCCATCTGATGAGTGGCCAGTGAAGTTATCAGTAGGCTGTAATGTAAACACTGCATTTTCTCTGAAAAGCAAAAAAGCCTGAAGCTAATGATTCTACTCACCAGAACAAATTCAATAAGCTGTAGTTGTACTGGTGACTATAGTGTCCCTTTAAATCTAAATAGAGAATGTCAAAAAAAGAGGTGTGGATTTCTAAATTTAGTTTTAGATTTCACACCTTACCGATACATATCTGTTAAATATCAGGGATATGTAAACATAGGTTTCCCTGACAATGCTGGCCTACATGACAGCACCATACATTGATACAGCTAATTTTAGGGCCGTTTACATAAAAAAACTACTGCAGTTTATTAAAGGACCACTATAGTGCCAGGAAATAGTGCCCTGAGGGTGCCCGGCTCTGGAAGGGGGAAAGGGGTAAAAACTTACCTTTTTCCAGTGCTGGGCGGGGAGCTCTCTGCCTCCTCCTCCGATCCGCCCCGTCGGCTGAATGCGCACGCGCGGCAAGAGCTGCAGCGCATTCAGCCGGTCGCATAGGAAAGCATTTATAATGCTTTCCTATGGACGCTTGCGTGCTCTCACTGTGATTTTCACAGTGAGAAGCACGCAAGCGCCTCTAGCGGCTGTCAATGAGACAGCCGCTAGAGGAATTGGAGGAAGGATTAACCCATTTGTAAACATAGCAGTTTCTCTGAAACTGCTATGTTTATAAAAAAATGGGTTAACCCTAGAAGGACCTGGCACCCAGACCACTTCATTAAGCTGAAGTGGTCTGGGTGCCTAGAGTGGTCCAAGAGTGCCTAGAGTGGTCCAAGAAGACATTGTCACATGAAACGTGTGGCTTACAATTAGCTTTTTCAAGTATCGTTGGTCAGTTTTTATTTTATATGGTTATTTAGTTCATTAACACATGCAAATTAAAAATACTATATGGTGATTGCGATTTAATTAATGATTAAGATCTTAAATTATGTTCCATATTATTAAAGTTATATAGGCAAATTGCACTTCTGTCTTACTAATAAACACTTCCAATTCAGGCAAATTAGCATGCAGGCTCATTTACAGCAATTATATAAATAAATTAACACTGGCAGGCTTATTAAAGCCACACATCACAAAACAGCTAAAAATGTGTAAATATTTTATGATTATAATAAATAAAAATGATTGTTAGGAAATTGCATGCTTTTATTGTACGGATGTAGAAAACTCTGTGCGACAAGTTCAAATGTTGCTGTTGACTATTACCAATTAACTAAAACCTTGTTCTTTGATTTAAAGGAACACTATAGCATTAGGGATACAAACCTGTATTCCTGACACTATATTCCTTGTACCTGATTAGATTCAGGGTCACTACTTTTGCTGTGTAAAAACCTGTATGAAAAGTTTCTTACTTACCCATTTCCACTGCTGAGCCTTCCTTGTTGCTGTCGTTTGTTCCCCTTTGTGTGACATCATCTAGCCACCTGTACTGGTATGAATTGGTATCAGGATCTTGAAGAAGACCCTGTGAGGGTCGAAACGTCGATTGCTTAAGATTTGCACATGTAATTTGCACTAAAGAATAAATTAGATTTTGGATGAAGACCTGTGAGTGCTCCTTATATATTGATTTTTGCTATATGGTAAACGCTGAGGATTGCACCCTGGCAAAGATTAATCATTTTTTGGAAACAGTAAGGGTGAGTGCCAAGGTCTCCTCTTTTTTATATATATATATCATTGTTATAAAGGGGAAATTACACAAGGATAACAAATTTTGACAGGAGCCATAGATTGTTGAGGACACTGCTCAAATGACCTTACACTGTAGCGGAGGTGAGTGTAGAAACACAATATGAAATGCAGCATGTTTGGACGTATTGGGATTTACATGGTAAATCGGCATGTTGTGCCAATCATATCTGCTCTAGGAGCAGCATTTGATTGGGTACCAAGTCTGACTCCATTGTCAACGAGCTAACACCTTAAGTGGCTGTTAGGAAGACAGCCAGTAGAGGTGTGTTTACCCTGAAAGTGCACCCTGACCGCTTCATTGAGATGATGGCTCTTTAAAGGATTGAAGACTATGGGAGTGTCTGATGGGAGCAGACAGCTGTTCCATAAGAATGGTGCAGCCTCTGAGAAGTCCTGTAAATGTGAGTTAGCAGTACGGGT